AGCCACCAAGATTCACTAGATTTGCTATGGATAGACTCAGCCACCGAGACATTCTCAAGGCGGACCAGTACCACCCACTGACCTAGTTAGAGCCTGCTTTTGAGAGCCGTTCGGCGAGGGTTCGAGACGGACTCTGGGTGCCCTTACACCTACGGCTCGTCTTTTAGACACCGTCATGAGGAGGACCTTGCTTCCAAGGGGTGGCTACCATGAGGGTTTGACTCATATTCTGCTTTGGTTAGTCCACCACCTAATCTCTCAGACACCGTTTGATATTTGGGACTTGTTACTTTCAAAGATGGAGGACAGTCTTGCAGAGGGCTTCAAGGGCCACCGTCAGCTACCATATGCCCATTAGATCTGCTTTCTTATACTATAGGCATGTTCACATATACCTCCTAAGGTAGTGACTGAGTTGACTGGCACTACTACTGAGTTCCCCGAGTACGACGTGTGCCAGCTGATGGGTTCCAGTACTGGGAGTCAGACACCGAGGCCAAGCCATCGCTAGAGGCCAAAGGTGCCGGAGACAGAGGCTGAGCAGGATGAGGCCATCAGGGCTTTGGTAGAGTCAAAGCTTGCAGACTTGGAGGCATAGCCGAACACTGAGGACGAGGACGACCTATCTGATAGTTTAGACGAGGACTACCAGCCTATTCCACGGATGCCCCCATGGGCTCATGACATAGAGGCTAGTGGTTCCAACTCAGCTCCACCTCAGCCACTGCAGACAGACCCTGCTCTGATAGCGATACTTGACAGGATGCAACAGGAGCAGACTCGCTACGCACAGGCCACAGCTGCAGCTCTCACTTAGATGCAGACCCGGCAGGACCAGTTCTAGCAGCAGCAGCAGATCATTTAGCAACAACAGCTAGAGACTCAGTAGCAGCTTATTGGCTTCATGCAGGGATTGCTCCTTTTTGGCCCACGTTGCAGGTTGGCTCGACTGTTACTAGTACCCCAGTGACTCTAGCTATACAGCCTAGTGAGCTTCAGAGTCAGGGATGGACAGCTCCATAGTTTGCCTCGCCTACTGAGCAGGTTTCGTAGTGGTTTGCCACACCAGGGATACAGACTCAGGGTTTCACTCCGATGGTCACCGGATTCACTCCTACACAGTCCACGTTAGTGTTAGTGATAGATACACCAGTCTCCAGGAGCTTGGCTGCCACTTTTAGTGAGATCACAGGTCACCCTAGACCTCCAGAGCTTTAGGTGCCTATTACTACAGTAGCAACTCCAGTCACAGGGACTACCGAGACTCTCCCGTCTTCTGTTGCTTCGTCAGAGCCGCCTTGGATAGTCACTGAGATAGTTGTGGCTCCACTTCCTACAGCGACAGCTTCAGAGCCACAGGGTCAGGCTACAGCTTCAGCTTCTACTTCATAGCTAGCCGACCTAGTTACTAAGACCGTAGAGCAGACCTAGACCGCTTCACTTCCTGCTTCAGAGTCAGAGGGTTAGCTACCGATTGCTCCAGCCGGTCTGACAGTTTCGAGTCCAGAGTCAGATGAAGATGCTACTCAGTTTCAGATCTCTCACCGTACCTCAGCGCCCGACTCGTCTGCTTCTACCTCGTCGTCCGACCCTTAGGTTTTGGTGCTTGACGCCAAAGGGGGAGAGAGAGCGAGTATGTTAGATTTAGGGGGAGCATGTGAGATGGACTAGTTCTTTTGTGTGTGATACTTCATGCATTCACGTTTGCTCTTATGCATTGTGTTATATGCGATATATGTGTGATTGTGAGACTTATGTGACATGTGTGCTCTCTACTTTGATATAAATGTCATGTCACTTGGCTATGCTCATTTGCTTTGCTTCCGCGTTTTACCCCGATACAAATGAGCTTTACTTTATGTACTTATGCTTATTTCATATCTTGCGAGAACATTGTGTTGGCTTGGATCATATACGCAAGCCTAACCCTCCTTTGCTCTTATTGTCAATTGTTTATATGAACCAACCATGTTGAAAACCTCACTCATCTTTTATACATACTCGAGGTTGTGTTGTCATCAATCACTAAAAAGGAGGAGATTGAAAGCATCTAGGCCCCTAGTTGGGTTTCGATGATTAATGACGACACGAGATTACTGTGACTAATATGTGTTTTGCAGAGGCAACTTGAGTTAGGTCATGGTAATGGTAATTGATTGGGCAATTATGGGTTTCATACCCCTATCGATGGAAATCGTTTCGGTTTTCAAAGGATGGGTGACAAGGTTAAGGACGGACTAGTTCTAAGTGTCGTTTGGCGTTCGAGAGACACTTAGAGTAGTTTTAGGATTTTGTTTTTTCTTTGACCGTACTATTAAGGGGGGTATGGACTAGTAGCTAGACCTACATAAGACTAATGGTCTAGGTGTGGTGCACACTTGTCAAACTTAGCACTAGATAGCTCAAGGACAGTCCACAGGTCAATTGAAGTTGATGTCGTTCATAAAAGTTGTCGAATTTGAAGTGAATGGAGACTTGGACATTGACCGGATCCTGGACCGGACGCACGGGTGTCGCGTCCGGAAAGCAGTGTATCACGCGCTGCAAGGGCAGAAGGACGACCGAATGCTGGTGCAGGCAAAGGATCGGACGCGTAGGTCCTGACCAACCATAGCAGCGTGGACTCGCTGCTGACCAAGGACTGGACGCAGGGATAAAATGTGACCGAACGCACAAGGTGTCGAGTTTGGTCGACATCAGAGAGTGTCCAGAGACTGTTTTTGTTGACCTGATGCACCGGGTGGATAGGGATCGGACTCACCTTGGAGTCCGATCATAGTAACGGTCATATTTCGGTGCTGGCTAGTGGTATACTGACCGGACGCATCCGGTCACATCGACCGGTGCGTCTGGTTGCCCCGAAAACTGCTGAGTTAGATAGTAATGGTCATGTTTTGATTGGGGGAGTATAAATACGTCTTCTACTCTTCCAACTTAGCTCTTTTGCCCATTTGTTCAGCTGAGGAAACTATTTGGTGTGCGAGGGAGAGCAAGAGCCTAGTAGGGTGATTGAGATTTGCTAATCAAAGATTAAGGACCTCATTAGTGCATAGAGAGTAGCAAGTGTGCATCCACTCTTCTCATTAGGCTTGTTTGGGTCAAGTGAAAGTTTGTGCTTGTTACTCTTGGTGATCGCCATCACCTAGATGGCTCGGTGGTGTTTGGACGCTTGGTGATCATCCGACAAAGCTTGTGGATGACCCAAGTCATGGTGTAAGCGGTTCTGGGCGATTCACCGCAACGGAGTGTCGAAGAATCAGTCCACTTGATCCTTACACGGATCAAGGGGGAGCTACACCCTTGCGCGGGTGCTCCAATGAGGACTAGTGGGGAGTGTCGACTCTCCGATACCCCGGAAAAACATCGCCACGTTCCTCTCTTTCTCTTTACCTTGAGCATTTACATTTGAGCAATTTAATTCATGTCTTTACATTCTTAGAATTGTCATGCTAGAGTAGGATTGGAACCTAGTGTGCAAGACTTTTGTGCGGTACAACAATAGAAACACCTCTAGGCATAAGAGGGTGAAATATGCTAAGTGTAGGACTTAATTATTGCAAGAAATTTAGAATTAACCTAATTCACCCCCCTTGGGATCTTGATCCTTTCACGGCCCATCCGCGCCGCCGGAGCCGCCCTGCAGAGGCTGGATTTGGGGGGCGCCGCCAGCCACACCGCCACAAACGCGAGATTCGGCCGTGCCACCCAACCGCGCCGCCTGAGCCGCCCCGCAGGCCACCCACGCCGCCGGAAGGACGACAATGGGCGCCGACACGCGGGTCGCCACCAGGCCTTCACCGCGGCAGCAACCTTCAGATCTGGAGCGGAGGGCCTAGATCTGCCCCGCCGGCGACGCCAACCGCCGGAGTAGCAGGAGAAGGGGAGGGAGGAAGGGGGAGGGGGGAGGAGGGCGAGACTGCGCACGGAAGCACGTTTTTGAGCTCCGCCGCAGGCCGCCGCCGCCGCCCACCGGAGAGCTGCAGCGGCGGTGGCCGAAGTAGAGGCCGGGACGGGGGTGCAAGCGGCGCCGGCAGGTCGCCCCCGAGTCGCCCGAAGCGGACGCTCGAGGGTTGGAAAAAACACCAGCTTGACAATCCAGTATTATCTGGCTTTCCACCCTCTTCTTGCTATTTCACTGTGCTGGCTGATTGAAATGAAAGCTTAGCTAATCCTGCTTTACAGATATGCCACTAGTACAAGTGATCGATGACCGTGCAGTGAGTGTTGCTTGTCGGCATGGCAATTGCAGAGCATGCAGTACGCCCGTCTTTCCAAAGCACTATACCGTGACACACCCGGCCGGCGGGGACACATGCAAACGCAAGCTTCCAAAGCCCACCCCATTGTCTTCTTCCTCATGCCAGCTAGCTTTTCACCTTTCTAGGATGTTGTAGGCTGGTCACGCCGTGCCATGCTAATCGAAGCCGACACCACGCACTAGCTTAGTATCATTCAGAAGATTAGTAGCTATGAGCATGGCAGCATGCACACCTAACGCCCTCACTGATGACCATCCGTCCATCTACGTGCATTACATGCTACACACAGTCAGCTACTGTATGCATGCATGTATACTACTACGTAGTACTACACCAAGTTCAGAGTCATTCTAGGCAGCTAGGTCGTCTCGTCGTCGATCCATCTCGCTCATCATCTGTTGTGCTACTAATACTACGTACTACCCTAGCTCACATGCACGTCGTCGCCTAGCTAGCTATAATTAAGTGGTGTTTAAATCGTTTAGAGTGTAAAGTTTACTACTAGCTAGGGCTTTATATTATATATATGCCATGTGCTGTGCTCTCGATCGGCCGGCTATAAATAGCACCCCCAGCTGCGATCCGATCACAGGTTGCTGTGCTACAGTTCCTTCCAGGCAGCAGATTAGCAGAGACACACGCACAGTGCCAACCTGCAGTCTCATCTGCAGGTACGCTACCAAACTAGCTACTGCTGTGCTAGCTGCGTACGAGTAGTACGTGGTAGCTGGCTAGCTAGCCATGGCGAAGAAAGTGGCCGTGGTGTCCACGCTGCTGGCCCTGAACCTCCTCTTGTTCGGCTTCGCCGACGCATGCGGCTGCAGGTGCGGCGGCTCCTGCCCTAGTCCAGGCGCCGGTGGCGGGGGAGGTGGTGGTGGTGGAGGCGGGGGTGGCGGATCTGGTGGTGGTGGGAGCGGTGGGGGCGGCAGCGGTGGTGGAGGGAGCGGCGGAGGAGGCGGCAGTGGCGGAGGCGGCAGCGGTGGAGGAGGGAGCGGCGGGGGCGGCAGCGGTGGAGGAGGTGGCAGCGGTGGAGGCGGCAGTGGCGGAGGCGGCAGCGGAGGCGGTGGAGGCGGAGGTGGGAGCGGCGGCGGCGGCGGGACGCGCGGTCGTTGCCCCGTGGACGCGCTGAAGCTGGGCGTGTGCGCCAACGTGCTCAACGGGCTGATCAACGTCAACCTGGGGACGCCGCCCAGGACGCCGTGCTGCACGCTGATCCAGGGGCTGGCGGACCTGGAGGCGGCGGTGTGCCTCTGCACAGTCCTGCGAGCCAACATTCTGGGCATCAACCTCAACCTGCCCATCAACCTCAGCCTCCTCGTCAACTACTGTGGCAGGCGCGTCCCCTCGGGCTTCCAGTGCTCCTGATCTGCTCGTCGCCATGCATGAGGAGCATGCATGCCTCTCTCCATCCATCGTCGTCGTCGATCCATGCATGCACACGCCCGCCTGCACCAAGGCCGGGCTAAATAATCATGATTTCTCAGCAACAAGTACAAGCTACTAGTAGACACCACTGTTCTTCGTTCGTCGCGTTCATTTGTTTTACTTCGTGTGTTTGATGAATGAATCTATCATGCATGCATGCAGCATGTCCATCTCGTCGTCCTGTGTTCGTGTTGGATGGATCCATGATCGATCGTGTCGAGAGGCCTGGCGGGACCCGACACGACGATCTCCATCTATGAATATAAATACCATTATTACAGTGTGCTAATTATCTGTGTGATCTGATGGATGAATGTTAGTAGTTGTTGGCCTGATGTGTATACCTGAATTACCTTACCTACAATGGATGAATATGAATATATATATATATATATGTGTGTGGAGAGAGTATATTCAGTAGCCAGCTACAAAATAAGTTATTTTGTAGCCATCTCTATTTACGATAATTTTATATACTAATTTACGATAATGTCAATACATATTTACGATACTTGATTACTATAACACATGGAGATATTTACCATAACGTTATAGTAAACCACTTAGTAAGGAGTTACTATAATCTCGTAAATTAATATAGTAATTATCGTAACTCAAAGTGGCTACAGAATAAGTTATTTTGTAGCCAGCTACATGTAGTATATATATATATATATATATATATACACACACACGGCAACATTCGTCCTCGTCGTAAGTAGCCACTATGCACCAGCATATAGTAGATATTTTGTCCCAGCACAAATAATTAACTCATAATCCTATATGATTTCATCAATCTTAACAAATGCATTTTAAAGTTTGACTAGGTTCTCCAAATAAGTTTATGATGAAAGTAGATTAAATGATCTATCTAATGATACTAATTATTTACTATAAATATTAAAATTTTCTTGTATATATTTGATTAAAGATAAAAACATTAACTCGTCGGGAAGCGAGAGACACTTATTCTTGAATGCCGGGAGTACCACGTAACCTAAAATCAGTTTCATTAAATCCACCATTAGTTACTATATTTTCTTAGATATATTGTATATAGCTGTGAAGGTATTTTTTTAATATAAATATGATTAAAGTTAGAGAAAATATGACTGCCATATAATATCTTAGTATATATACAGACGATTAAACTTGCCTATATATATATATATATATATATATGCAGTGAATAATATATCGATGTGATGTAGCCAAAAGCTAGCTAGCTAGCTTAGCTAGGGACTTGCAGCAGGAGGAGGGTACACGTACGCGTTCTTGTTTCTGCATGAAAGAAAAAAAGAGAGCAAGTGACAGCTTGCGATAGAGAGAGTGTGATACATGAAAGTTGCCTGCATGCACGCATGATACCCATGTTGACGATCGGAATCGACTGCGGACCGGCCACGGCCTGGTATAGACGACGACGACGACGACGACGACGACGATAATAATAATAATAATAATTGATGATGGGCGGATCGATATGATGGCGATACATAAAGCAAGCAAGCTCTCCGGTCTAGTCGTCGCCAGCAGCATCTGGAAAGGCGAGGCGGACGTTTATTTATTTTTTGTAGGTACGCGCAGCCCGTGAAGGCTAGGGTTTTGTTGGCTTGCGCGGCCGGCCGGCGTGACGGGCCCCTCCACCACGGCACGGCGGGGCCCCATCACGATCCACATCCACGTTCGTACGCCGGTGTGAGTAGTCTAAAGCCGCCGTTCCATTCCATATTATGGCCAATTGTTTGGATTAATTAGGTTTAATAAATTCGTCTCGTGGTTTACTGAGAGATTTTGTAATTTATTTTTTTATTATTATTCGAACATCCCATGTGATATTTCATGTAACATCCGATGTAATACCTCAAAACTTTACCCCCTGTATCTATATCTAGACAAGGCCTATATATGAATGAATTGAATTTGCAATCCATGGTCAGTGCCAGTGCAGCCGTGAGTGATATCGATAGTGTATGCACGGGAAAATAATTAAGCTAGATATAGGCTCCGCTAGCTCCATCGGTCCGATCCGATGGATCCATCCCTTCTCCAGCCGACCAAGATACGTACATCTAGGCAAACAAACACCATGTCTAGATGATGCATGGTTATGGTAGTTGGGGTTTGGGCCACAGCAACTGCAGACAAACTAACACCAACCCTACAACGTTAGGCCTAATAGGAACAACAATGCAACCAAACATCCACTCAGGCCTACCTATTGCTGTCCTGGCTGTGCTTGTACCAACGGGCCAACCTTGTCCAGAAAGCCCGTGGTCCGATAGCCCGACACAAAGAACGTTATTTTTTGGCCCGACCCGAGCATGGCATGGCCTAGTGCTACATGGGCCTAGGCTGGCCAAGTCCAACGCACATGGTCGTGCTTGGTCTGGCTCCAAGGGCACGGCCTGGCCCAACAAAAGCTAGCACCTAATTCACTGGCTGGAGGGTGCGTGTTAAATTAAGCAAAGACCCATGAGTCTTTTCCCAGTGTACCATTAAAAAATATGGCATTTTCCTACATACCACTAAAAAGTTCGGACTTACCTAGGTGCCATGACACTTTATTTCTTTGCCTCCCAAGCCATTCCGTCCATTTTCGCTGGTAACGGTGTGTAACGGCGAGGAGAAAAGACCGAAGTGCCCTCGGTCTAGGGAGGATGAGTGAAATTGCCGTTTACCCTGTGTGCCACTCCCTGACCAAGCGTTTGAGCGCCAAGTCAAACAGTATATTTCTATATATCTTTGACCATCAATTTGTGTAGATTCATGTAGTTTAACAGCATAGCATCTGAATTGAATGTAAAAACATAAATTTGATGATATGTTAAACTATATAAATAATTTCTAAAAATTGTTGATGGTCAAAAAAAATAGAAAGGTTTTGAATTTGAACAACTAAAGTGCTGAAAGGAAGCGAGTACATGAAAGCAAAAGATTAAGTGAATATATCATGGACGAGGTAGTAGCTACGTACGCGCAAACTAATTAATTTTGACCCTGGGGCAAAATACAGATTTGATAAGGCAGCGGTCAATTTAAACCTCATAACTGTCCTTGTGAGGCAATACCGCAATACCATGCAAATAAAGAACACATAGTGCTTTTTTTTTAGCAACCTGAATTGAATGTTTAAGTATATAGCTAGCTGTCTCAGATAGTTATAGCAAAACCATCACCAGCTTAAATTTATGCGGTCAACAAATATATATCTGGCAGATCTTGCAAGTTACATTTTAATTACCAAGAAAATATATAAGCTACATTCTCAGTGTACGTTCACAGAGCATGCATTTGTTTTACACCCAATTTAATTTATATATTATCACGCAATATATATAATGCAAGTTAGGAAGAGTACGTAAAAGAGAAGGTGTTAGATAATTAGTTATTTTTATGGTCAATTTAATCCAGAAATAAAATATCAGCAAGTTTGTGATGACATATATGTGCATGTGTATATCTCTAACAAATGCTACAGCATGTAAATATGACATACTAATCGATACAGTAAGTACACAGAGTACGGTAATCACAGAGTTAAGAATGTACCCAGCGGAGGGTCACATGCCGAGGGCATCGGAGGCTCCATTCGCACCAGACATAGTGCGTTGCTCGAAGTCGTGGACCACAGTCGATGCAGGAAGGTGTTCGCAATGCAGTCCCACGAACGGATCACCAGGAAGAAGACGGGTTCCACAAGCGATCACCAGAAAGAAGACGTCTGACGAGCAGTCGCGGAATCGCTCCCCAAAAACCTAATCGCCGCACACCCCGTACAAGGTTCACAAGCGGACGAGGGTTCCGGAGGCACCTGCTCTCCCGCAGCTCCGTGCGCGCAGAGGTACGAGACGGGGAAAGCCAAAGGGCTGCTGAGAAGTGGTCTCTCGGAAGCGAAGGGGAAGGGAAGAGGACTGGCGGAGGACTTTCTATTTTATGCCTGCAGCGGGATGGGAGAGAGACAGCGAAGGAATTCAGGAGTCGGAGACACGGATAGACGGAGAGATGGTAACTGACGTAATCAACTCGCCTCCACCATCAAGGAGAGAAACTCTCATAATTATGTGGATTAAGTGGCAAAACCTGACCACGCCCGCCCGTCCGCTCGCTCACCGCCTGCCTGCCTGCCACGCCATGGCCTCGGCCTCGGCCTCGGCCCGGTCCGTGCCCGCGCCCACGCCCATGGCCCAGCCGCCGGCGGCGGCGGCGCGCGCGCATGTGGCACTCATTTGTTCTTTTCTTAGCTTCTCAACTAAGATGGATATAATTTCTAACCAAATAAACTGAGTAAACGTTCAGTCAAAATATCATACGGCATTAAACCATACAACACTTAATGTTATGTACCATAGAGTTTTATTTGATTTATTAAATATTATACGGGCCAAGCCCATAATATATCCAACAATCCCCATCAAACTCTAGGGTTTATAACAAAGTAGTCTCAGAACCACATTTCTTTTATATACCAGTGTTTCGATGGAGACTGTTAAGTTGAACATCCATCTAGAGCAATAGTTTCACTCAGTCACAACTGAATAATGGACTAAGCCTTGAATTGACAGTTTTGTGTGAGGTGAATGTCACTAAAGTCCTTAGCTGATACTAGGTTGCAAAAGGCATCCCCTCTATTTGAAGCATATAAGTCATACTCCAGTGCCTTTCATGAGTATTTAGAGATCACCCAAATCTTATAGACTGTGACCAGCAGTCTGACTCATATAGATGTGTTCCTCAAAAGATGTTTTATAGGACAACATCTTTGGTTTAGCAAGCCACTTGGAACATATTAAGGTAAAACCAACCTGCCTTACAGAAAGGAAAGATATACATCAGAAATAAGTCTTACTAAGGATCTTTCCTCACAATTTACTACTAGCTTGTTTCACCATCCTACTTCACGGGATCTCCGATCACATAAAACAGGTTACCACTAT